GTCATCCTCTTAAGAAAGATATATACAAGGTCTGTCCAAATGGTATCCAGCTATATAATATGAAAAATAGAGACATCTGTTGAAGAATATACACCATACAAGAAACATTGTACATAGGACAATGCCACCTCAGTCCCCTTCAAAGTAGGTACCTTGGGACCTCACACAGTTCTCCCAATTGCCATCAGCTGCCCCATCATATTTTCCTAAATCTCATTGATGGTCTGAAATCTCTTCCCTTTCAAAGGGGATTTTAGTTTTGGGAAAAGCCAGAAGTCACAGGGCACCAAATCTGGGATGTGAGGGGCCTGAGTCACCTGGGTGATTTGATGTTTCACCAAAAGTCTGTGCAGGAGACATGATGCATGAGTGGGTGCATTGTCATGATGTAGAGCTACCAATCACCAGATGCCCATAGCTGTGGCCTTCTGAATCATCCAAATAGTTTTTTTTCACCAAGGAATGTTCAGGGTTAACACAAAATTTGATGCATATTCATTGCCCTAATCACTCAGTCATTTTGAATGTGATGGCCACACAATACACATGCTCACTCAATGGTGTCTACCACTACCACTGACTAGTACAGTGAAGTCATCTTTGTTCACGCATGTGCATTCTAGTCCACTCTCCTTGGCTGCCAGGTTACATTGATATTGCACAAACCATTCTCATTATATTAACAATGGTTGGACTTGTTCCACACAGACCTCATTATATTTATATATATATACACATACTGTTCTAAAAGTGTAATTGCATAATACAGTCACACTTGGGCCACAAATAGTTTTGCTTTAAGCTTTGCAATTCATTGCCACAATGCCATCAGTTGCTACTTCATTTTAGTTCTTCTCAGCAATGCTGGATTAGTTCATTAAGAAACTGAGATATTATAATAATGATAGACTGGACTGAGACTATACAGGTTTCCTGAAGTTCCTTACATTTCATAAGATTTTGTTGTATTAACACTTCAGGATGCATTGTGCCTTAAGAATTGATGAGAGTAACTCCATATTTTAAAGCTCTACGTTTAGGTCTGATTACTGGAACACACTTACTAGGTTAATGTTTAACAGTAGCTGTCCTGTGGATTCACTTAGGAAGTTGGGAGATGGCAATTTGATTCTTCTTTATTGGACTGGCCTTATTGCACAATTAATTAAGACCTATTTAAAAATAGCCTACAGAAGAAGCCCGGGGAAGGGAATGCCTTTAAAACAATGCCACTGTAGTAATGAATTCATTTTTATGCCTGGAATAGCTACTTTTATCCAGTTTGGATTAATGAAATCAGATATGATGTTGCTTTCTGGCTAGAGCACTAATACTAAGAAACAACTCATTTTTGTTAACTATATCCTAGGTTTTCAAAGTTATTAGGTACTTTTAAAGAACTGACCTTGTGTAGTCAGTTCATGTGTGGTTCAGTTTTTTTATATTTTTCTCTAATTATGATGTTTACTTAGGCATAAAACATATGTATACAGTTTAAAGATAATAATAATATCAACACTCAGGTAACTACCACTCAGATCTAGAAAAATTACAAGCATTCCAGAAGGTCCACCCTTACATGCACTCCATTCAGATTCCTGTCTTACTCTAGGTCGCCACTGTCTTTACTTTCATCATTTCCTTCTCTTTGTAATGTAGTCACTTACATTTGTATCCTATACAAAAACAATATAATTTAGGTTTGCCTGGTTTTGAACTTGTATGAATAGAATCATGCTACGTGCTCTCTTGTGTCTGGGATCTTTCATTCAGTGTTACATTTGTGAGATTTTATCCATGCTATTGCTATGTAGTGAATTTTTTTAAAGCCTTTTTTTAATTTGCCTTTCTGTTTTTTACTTAGAACCCCCCCCCCTCCCGTAACTAACTGCTTGTGTAGATTTCTACTTTGCTTTCTTGGATTTTCTGCTAAGTGAGGTCTGAAAACTAAAACTTGTTTGGACCCCAGTTTTCATTAAAAAACTTTACTGAGGTAAAATGGTTTATAACATTATAAAAGCTTAAGGTGTACAACATTATAATTGGATACCAGTATGCCCTACTGAGTTCTCACCACCAAAAGTCTAGTTTTCTTCTGTCATCATACATTTGACCCCCTTTACCCATTTTACCCTTCCAGACTCCCTTCCCCTCTGGTAACCAGCAATCTGTCCTCTGTATCTATGAATGTTTTTGTTTTGTTTATTCACTTATTTATTTTATATTCCACATGAGTGATATCATATGATTTTTGTCCTTCTTTGAGGGTAATACACTAAGTGAAATAAGTCACATAAAAATGGACCCCAGTTTTCTGAACTGACCTGACTGCCACTGGTTTGATGGCATTTGTTTTGATGAGACTACATCTTTAAGGCTTCTGTGCTTGGTTAAAAATCTTCCTTTCTCTAAGGCTGGTCCAAGGGTCTGGTCATGTGATTCCAACAGTGACATCACACTCTGACTGCCGGGGGAACACTGGTGGTTCTTTAGGTGGCGTTTGTTCCTCTGAAAGGCAGAGAACACAGCAAGTGCCCCTCTAAAGCAGTTCATATCGGGGGTCCTTCTGTAAAAGCTTCTCAATCTAAATGACCAAATGCAGGCTTCCAGGGTTATTTCTTCCTTGAAGCAGAAAAAAAGAAAGCTGTAATTGAAGGTAAGCAGACTTGAGCCTGGCCAGGGACGGAAGCATGACCCCAGGGAGAAGGGAATCTGGAGAATCACAAGCAGTCTGTTGTCAAATTCTAATGACCGTCTGCTCTTTTAGAGCTGCCTGACAATTTGAATGTATAACAGGAGACTATTTACAAAGAAAGATGATGCATGCTTGTGTTACCTAGTGATGGAGGAGGTTTCTTTCATTTATGTTAGAAAGCTGTTGCAGATCTTCATTTTGTCTTAATATCCTTTGAGCTGGGGCAGTAGTTACTGCTTTTAAAAATCAGCTTCATAAAATCTTTTTTTAATTCCTCTTGACAGAAATACTCTTAAGCCAGAGCAAATTTAATTGAAGTGTGAATCTGCTTTTAAAAAGTACATTTCTGATTGTTTGGTGTCCTGTGTTAATCAGGTTAGCATTTGTCTTGAGAATTTAAGCAGGCTTGTTTCTCACCCCTCTCCTCACATACTTATTCTCCTTCAGCCCTCATTTCCTAGCTGGCTATTTCCCTCCAAGCTCTCAAACAGCACACCAACACTGATCTTTATCAGTATGCCACTAACATGATAGGAAATGCTGGGCTGGTGATTCAGCAACCAACCATTTTACAGCCAGGTAGGTTGGAAGATAAGGAAAGGACTTTGATTAGGAGTTTTAAGATTAACTTGTTCACCTCCTCCACTCCAACCCCTCCCCCAGCCCTACTCCTCAATATGATTTGGATTCTGCAGAGCTTTTCCTTTCAAATATGTATGTTGCTTATGAAATGTATGCTGCATTAGGTATTCAGAAGACTCAAATTTGTAAACCACATACAGCTTGTGTGTTAATTCAAACTGACATTATCAGAGTGCTGAAGTTGTCTGTTAGAAGTTTAGAATGAAGATGGGGATACAGATAGGGGGAGTGGGGGTCAGTTCAGGCCCACTTTCATCTTCTTTGTAGAGAGATTGATCACCAAACAGTCTGGATAAAGCTTTGTACCTGTCAAAGTTGATGCTGCAAATGTTAGTTCTGGCTGTCTGGGTTCAATCATGGCATTACTCTGCATTTTTACTCAGTGTGCATTTGCATAAATACCTGAATACTGTTTTGCGTTTTGTGTTTAATGGCTAAATATTGTCCCATCAGAGGATTGTGAAAATATTTTGAACAAGTTGGTTAAGCCATACTAAGTAACCTTGTATAAGTACAACTTCTGAGTTTGAATAGTTCTCCCCCATCACTACTATTCATCAAAGAAAGTTTGGTTTAGCTGGTATTTATTGAGACTTGTTCAGGTGCTAGATGCTGGAGAAGACAATGGTGAGTCAGATCTAGGGATGCCTTCAAAGAGCTTCTAGTCTAGAAAGGAACATGAAGCATTTGATTAAGTAATTGTAATAGAAGTACTAAAGGTGAAGCAGACGAAGGGCTGTGATTGTTGGGCAAATGGATATGTTTCTTCCAGTTGAAGGATCAAGGAGGGACATCATCATGGAGCCATATTCTGCTCTTTAAATCTCCACTGATAAATCCTAGACTCTTCTGACATACTCAGTAAATGTTTCTGCAAATTATTACATCAGGGATCAAAGTCTTCTACCTATTGAAGGGAAATATGTACATTCCAACCAGCTTAACTCTTGAAGAGGCTGACATGCTTTCTTTGGAGTCCCCATTCAGGCAAAAGCTACTTTCTAAGGTTGAATTTTTGCCCTCGTAAATGTAAAATGCTTTCTACTGTGATATGTCTACAAAGGCCTTTGACCCTTTTGTCTCCATTCCATAACAGAACTGAAATAGCTAACCTGCTCCAAGCTCCTGTCTTTTGCTTCATAAATCCTTTCCCAGTGCACTTCAACTCCTGTCAATTCTCTCTTTGTATTGTTACTCTCATCTGTCCCCTTCCATTTACACTGCCTTAACATACTTATTTTGTGCCCTAAACCACAGAAACCTCTGAATGTGATGGCTGTTCTCACCAGGTGATTGATTGCATTGCCTTGTCAGCATGCCCTAACTGTACTCAACTGGTAGTTTAAGGGCTCACCTTTTGGTGTACTGAAAAGAGATATTAAACATTACCTGTGTCATCTGGCTGTCATGGCTCAGTAGTTTGACTGCTGCACTGTGAAGCAAAGGGTCACCAGTTCGATTCCCAGTCAGGCGCATGCCTGAGTTGCAGGCCAGGTCCCCAGTAGGGGGCACATGAGAGGCAACCAAACATTGATGTTTCTCTCCCTTTTTTTCTCCCTCCCTTTCTCTCTCCCTCCCCCCTCTCTAAAAATAAAATAAATAAAATCTTTTTAAAAAATGACCTGTGTCTGAAGTACTAATGTCTGTTTCCTGTTCAATACAGAGGAAAGGTCATACAATGGTGGAGGAATAGGTTCTTCAAATAGGATGATGGACTTCTTGGAGGAGCCAATCCCTGGTGTGGGGACCTATGATGATTTCAATACAATTGACTGGGTGAGAGAGAAGTCTCGAGACCGGGATAGGCACCGAGAGGTAAGGAAAAAGATGGCACATGAGTAACTGTTAGGAAACACCAGAGGAAGACGTTGAAGATATATATTCTTTATTTGTATTCTTTCTTTCAGCCCTGGATGTGGCTAAATCTGGTTTTTATTGGCAATGTAGAGTTTTATTTTAAATTTATTTTTAAGGTATCATTATATGATTTTGAAAAGAATTTATATTTAATGATGACTTACCTTCCTACAGTAAGTAGTTGAAAAGGATCCTTGCAGCTCTGAAATGCGTATCAATACCTATGCAGACAGGTGAAAACAAACTTGGTGCGAGTGACCAAAATAAATTTCAAAGATCCTCATTCCCCATTTTCATCTCCCTTTTAGGGTTTTCCTTTGAAACAGGATTTTTAGAACTAAGAAAATAAATGGGCTCCTTTTAAAGGAATAAAGTAAAAAAATCTCAGAGCCCAACTGTTTGCTGAAGCACACAAGATAAACTTTTTGTTATTATAGCTATTTTACAAGTACAACACCAAAGTAAATTTATGTATTTGGCTCAAACAGAACCACAAGACCAATTAAATTCAAATTAAGAACATTGATTTTACATGATAGGTAATAGATAGTACTTATGGCTGTGGCACAGGTTCTTGTAAGTATTATGAGAGCATTTTCCCACTTTTTAAAGTACTGTGAAAACTTTTCAGAGCAGTCCATCAAGATCATTTGCCTTGAACTTGTTGCTGTGTATAATTTAAATGAGGGAATCCTAATTTCTAGTTTGTGTCTAGAACACATGGCGAGCTTATTAGAAAGGCAGGGACCCACCGCAGGGACCTTGATTCAGTAAGTGATTCTCTGGGGAGACATTTCAACCAATGGTAGGTATTATTATTTTTTCTTTCTTACTATTTCTGCTTTGACTCTAGATTTAAAATTTGATTTTTAAGTTGACTTCATTCTGTCCTGAGTTCATGATTTCCTTCTCTTAAGAGCCAAATCAATCTCACTTTTCATTCTTAAGCCTTTCCCAGCTCCTGATTGATTTTCTCATGACCTCCTGAACTCAGGAGTCAGATTGTCTCAGGTACAGGTTTTGAGAAATTCCTTTGTAATCCTTGGATTTGTGATAATCCCACTGAGTTTTCTTATTCTAACTTAAAAAGATGATCTCTATAAAACATTCTATGTTTTTTCAAAGGTTTCTGATATTTAGGAACACATATGTATTCTATTTATTGTATCAATGCATCAAGCAGGCTTTAAAATTTGGAATTTTAAGGCATTTGAATTTCTGTTCTTTGTAATTCAGAGTTCAGTTTGTCATCAGGTGCATATTCCACTTTATTCACATTGCAAAAGTCGCCTGTGATATGACAAAGGCATATTTCCCATTATATTAAAAGGGTTATATCTGAGACAAATTATAACAATTAATGATAATTCAAAATCAATTAAAATGTGTTTATCAAATATTCAAAGGGGACTTTTCAGCACTAACTGTTCATCTTCAGAATGGAAACAGAGGGGGAAATGTCACTTCGTTTACTTTTCACTATTGTACTGGAAACTTGTAAGTCAAAATGTAATTTTAAAGGACTTTAAAAATTTTTATAATTTATTATAATTAGTTGTGATGTTGATAGATAAAGATGGAGTGGCTAACTCACAGTTGCAAAGATAAGAAATAGAGGTCAAGAGAAGGCGGGTAGTACCAATGACAAAGTTGTCTGTATTCTTGCTTTTGAAATGTGCGCACTGAAGGGGTAAATTGAGGTTAGGTCCTAAAAAGTAGAACTTTCTGCAACTCTTGATAGTCTCAGATATTCCCAGCAGGTTTTTTAAAATAAAGAGATGCATTCCTAATATAATTTAGTATCTATGATCAATTTAGAGTAAGGAGTTTGTGGGATCAAGTCTTGAAATTTGCCTGACCTGAAGCATAGCCCTGAATGGATAGTACACCTCAAATTGTACTTTCCACCAGTCAATTAAGTTTATGTCCATTTATTCTTTGAAAAACAATCAAATATTTGCTGTGAGTGAAGAGACCATCCTTGAGATATCTGATGTCTAGGGCAGAAAGAGACTACTTTAATAAGCAAAACAGAGTGGTACTTAAGAAATCAGCAGCTGAATGGGGAAGGCCTGAATAAGATACTTGCAGGCATTGTGATATTGTAGATGAAGGTGGGACCAGTAGTCAAGGTTCAATAAATCTCAAAGTTCTTGGTTATGTTTGGTCAGCCAAAGATTGTTTGAGAAGTAACTCCATATTGGTCTCTATTTCCAATGAGTAGATTTGTCTTTGTGTTTCTTTACTCTACTGCATATTTGGAGGTGAAAAAGCAATGGTGTGTGTAAAATGTATCAATGTTTTTTCATTTTTTCTTAGATTACCAATAAAAGCAAAGAATCAACATGGGCCTTAATTCACAGTGTGAGTGATGCCTTTTCTGGCTGGTTGTTGATGCTCCTTATTGGGCTTTTATCAGGTATGGTAAACTCTGTTAGTTTTCTAAACAAATCTCCTAAAATTGTGGTATGGTCCTCCCCTAAGTCATGACCTGAGTTGAGTGCTATGCTTTATGGTTTTCCTACATGAAATAAATTGCTGATGGATCTTTTGGATGTACATGCCCCCATCATAAAGGGATACTAATACATGCATTTAACCTCCTTCCTTAAATAAATGAGGTTAAATGAGGAAATGCATTTAAATGTATATGTATGCCATAAAATGATATATTTATTTTAAGATGCTGTTAGCACTGCCTTTTGGTGCTTTCAGTTTTTTCCAAAACACATACTACATGGGCTTTAGTAGAGAAGATGTAGAAGAGGACTTCCTGAGACTTTTTTTGTAGCTATTTCTTAAATATATATTCTCCCAATTGAGGATAAAGAAAAGCACATAAGATATGGCTCATACCCAGAAGGATTTTACCATCTCATTCTCTCATGGTGGCTGAGAAGTGGGATGCTACCACCTTTTCCTATGTTCCCCACCAACCTCCTAAGACACTGCAAATAATATGCAATCTAACTCAGAATATTACACTTGGTATGCAAATACAGCTTTAAAGCAAATTCCCAAGCAGGCTTTCCCTACCATGGAAGAATCAGAAAGCCAAGAATACGCCCTGGCTGGCGTAGCTCAGTGGATTGAGCTTGGGCTGTGAACCAAAGTGTCGCAGGTTTGATTCCCAGTCAGGGCACATGCCTGGGTTGCAGGCCATGACCCCTAGCAACCGCACATTGATGTTTCCCTCTCTCTCTATCTCCCTCCCTTCCCTCTCTAAAAATAAATAAATAAATAAATCTTTTTAAAAAATTTGCTAAATTAAAAAAAAAAGAAAAGAAAGCCAAGAATACCTGGTAGAGATGCTAAAAGTTGTAGCCTTATGGCATTAAAAGATGGGTGTAGGAAGATCTGGAATATTGAGTTAAAACAGAAGTTAAGTGGAAAACCTGAATGGAAGTGGATGAGATAAAATGGCAATTAACAGCACAGGCTGTAGTTTGTAGCTGCCTACATTTGAATCCAAGCCCTGCCACTTGTTAGTTTTGTGACTTTTGGAAAGTTTCTCAACCCTTGGAAGCTTCAGTTCACTGATCTATAAAATGGGAATAATGAGTACCTGTATTACACACTTGTGAAAATTAAATGAGATAGAGCTCACATAGCACTCAGCACAGTGCCCAGTTGTTAACCATGCTTCTGTTATTGTTACCTAGAGATAATTCATGAGCTGTGGAGTATAAGATGATTGCTGCAGTGAGGAATGGCTCATCCATAGCTGGCTTTTCAAAGATGATCTGGGGCAGGGGTCAGCAAATGTTTTCTCTAAAGGGCCAGATAGTAAATATTTTAGGATTTGTGGGCCAAATGGTTTCTGTAGCACAAAAACAGCCATAGACAATAGGTAAACAAATGAGTGGGCCTGTGACCAAGAAAAACTTTGTTTACAAACACAGAAGCAGAGTTGACCCTTGAGCCATGCATGGTCTAGGGTGTTATTGTTACCCCTTCTGCCAGTTTAGAGTTGGCTAATAATAGACTGTGTGATCTGTAGTTCCAAATATTGCAGAGATGCTGAAGAGAAGGAAGAAGGATGAGAAAAGGTTATATAGTTTAGCAGTTAGGAAGATACCAATGACCTTGAAAAATCATCTCAGGTGAATATTAGGGGCTATAGTTCAAGGGGAAGCAAGCAGTGTGGAAGTTTTGGAGGTATTTGGTGTTCATTGGAAATAGAGAAGGGATAAAAACTTGAAGTGGTAACAAGGATGAGGGAAAATATTTCGTTTTTTAGAGGAGGAGAAACCTGATGAAATTTGTAACTAGGGAAGAAGGAGCCTATTGGGAAAAGAATGGGTAGAAATAAAAGGAAAGGTAGCATTGAGGGTAACTATGTTAGATAGGATAAGGCATGCATACATGAAATAATTAGATAGCAAGCCAAACTCTATATCATCATGTTAATTTTCTGAACTCAGGCAATAAGTGCAATAAGAGTTAGAAGAAAGAGAATGGGGGGGCGGGGCTGAAATCGTCAAGGGTAGGTATCAAACTGTGTTAGATTTGACTTAGGTTATTTAAATATGTAAATAACCTGTGTTAACACTTTTAGCACCTACCAAAACATACGCATGACATGGCCTCCTGCCTGTTGGAGTGCAAGCATAATATCCTCAAATTTTTAATGTATTTCTTGTCACTAGGTGGTCAGTGAATACTTTTTTCCCTCATACACACAGGGCATTTTGTTTTTAAGTATTGGAGAGCTACAACAGAAGCAGTGTTTCTGAATGCAGAAAGTCTATGTATTCAGGGGCTGTGAATTTTATATCTTTCTTGTTTCCCTAAACCACTATTCTAGACCATTTCATCTCTTTATGCTAGAACTTTTTCATCTGGATGACAGAAATGATGAGAGGCCAAAATCAAAAGTACTATAACTATCTTAACCCTATCAGTCTATTAGCCATAGTGCCTGAATCCCCATTCACTATTCACTTTCTCATAATTTTCTTTGATGAATGTTATGTATATAATATTGTTTGCTCCTCTCACTAAGAAAACTTCAGAATGTTCATGTGCTAGGCTCAGGAGGCTTCAACATGTCTACAGCTTCATATAACCTTCTATGTATATCACAGTGTGTGCTTTTTTTATAAATTCAGTTCCCTTAGCCTAGAATACCTTCCTGCCATTGCTCAAATTGCCTTGTGCATGAAATAAAATCACTATGAAGACTGAGCCCTTCACCTTATAGTCTTTAGCAGTTCCCCTCCCCAAGCCATCTCAAATAAGACATCATATAATTTTCTTCAATATGGTAAATGTCAGTTTTCTCAATCTTATGTATATAGTGAGGATAAAATAATCATTAATAAACTTGACTGTCGCTGTGTCTGGTGTGGCTCAGTGGTTGAATACTGGACTGCAAACCAAAGGGTCACTGGTTCGATTCCCAGTTAGGGCACATGCTTGGGTTGTGGGCCAGGTCCCCAGTTGGGGTGCGTGCAAGAGGCAACCACACATTGTTGTTTCCCTCTCTCTCTTTCTCCTTCCTTTACCCTCTATAAAAAATAAATAAATAAAATCTTTAAAGAAGATAAACTTGACTGTCTTTATGGATCAGTATTCATTGACTCCAAGCCAGAGAAGAATATGTAAATCAGCTAAAGGTCAAATCCATTTGCTCCTTGCTCCCATCCAACCACTTTGCTCTCCTTTAAGTTTCCTCTATATAGAAATTCTACAAACATAGTGTTTAATGCAGACAATGTTTTGTTTTCTTTTACCCTCTTGAGCAGGCATTTAACAATAGGTGAAACCTATTAGAGATAGTAGGTGCAAATCAAGCAGACAGGCAATCAAAAAGAGGTTCCAAGTGGAATGGGAAAAAATATATGCTTGTCCATTATTTTCATCCCTTTTTCCTCATTTTCTCTAACAATTTTGCCCCATCCTTCCCTCCTCTCAAATCAGGTTCCTTAGCTGGCTTGATAGACATTTCTGCTCATTGGATGACAGACTTAAAAGAAGGTATATGCACAGAGGGATTGTGGTTTAACCACGAACACTGCTGCTGGGACTCCAAGAATGTCACCTTTGAAGACAAAGACAAATGCCCAAAGTGGAATAGCTGGTCCCAGCTTCTCATCAGCACAGATGAGGTAATGCGTAGTGAAGATTTTGGAACCACTAACTTTTATTCTTTCATTTCCTTAATTTCTTATACTCTACTCATGCCAATTGTGGAGTCTCCCCCCACCCCCATTTTTCTTTTCATAAAAAGGGGAACCAGTGCCAGCTGCCTTTTTCTGTGGTTTAAGTGTAGCCCTATTTCCCTCTCTTCTGGCACATGGGGTCGTTTGATGCTTACACAATGACTTAACATTTTTGCTTTTTTTAAACAAGCTTAGTGTTTCTTTTTAGTTTTAGTACATGGTGTGACTGAATGTATCTTTCTCTAATAATCGCAGTAGAAATGTTAGAACCATCTGACAGGTAAGCTACAATTTCTAACAAGGGATGGATTGGGTTAAAAATATGTTTATAGTATAGGTTCCAAAAGTAATTTTTTCCTGAGCATTACACTAGAATATTAAAAAAATTATAATATATTCAATATCAAAACAACAGAAACCCAGGAATAAAATTGCCCCAGTCCATTTTGAGATTAAATATATTTTCATTTGTCCTGTCTTCTAGCTTATATTTTTCGATGCAGACTTAAGTTTGTTTTGCAGTTCCTTACCTTTCTATTACCACTTGGTTGTAAGTTAGATTTTTCCTATTAAAAACAAAAATACAAAGTAAAATGAAACAAAGCAACTCTCAATTCCCAATTCCAGTCTGAGTTGTACTAACTAAAACAGGTACTATCTCAGCTCACTACTCATCCACTTTGTTGGTAAAGTGAGGGGGACAAGACTAGGATATATATTTGTACTTTTAAAATTTACTTTTATACCTAGTTTGGTCCACATTTGAAATGGCACGCATACACACACACATCCAGAGTCAAGGGAAAGGAAGGGTAGCAAAATAAAGTCAGAAATAATAGTGTTTATGTACATATGACTGTACATATTTTGGTTTGGGAAAAGAGTCCAATAACAGGGGTAAATATATACTATATATATATATATGAAAGGGTTTAAGCCTGTGCTTCTCAAACTGGGGTCAGTGTGCCAGAGGGTAGGTGAAACCACAGGATGTAAATGCTATGTGCCTTCTCAGAATATCAGTTTTTCCTAAATATTTCAACAAATATTTTTCAAAAATTAAATGTAAACAGCCATTAAAAAGAAATGCAAGATTCCCATGTTTGTTAAGGTAAAAAATAATATTTATTTCAGTTCTGCTTCTGGGTACCCCACCCCCTACCCTGATGTCTCTATTTACTCTCCTAGATTAGGAGTACTTGGGTAGAAAAATTTGAGGAGCCCTGGAACTTAGGGTGAGTCTGTGTGTGTGTATTTTGTGTGTATGTGATTCCCTTGCTTTTTAAAAATCTTTTATTTTTGAAGTAATTAGAGATTCACAGGAAGTTCCAAAACAATGTATAGGGAGCTTTCCCCTACCCTTCACCCAACCTCCCTCAATGCTAACATCTTATAAGTATAGTATAATAGCAATATAAAGAAATTGACATTGATGCAATCCACAGCCTTTATTTCACCTGTTTTACATGCATAGATATATGTGTGTATGGGTGTGTGTGTGTGTGTGTGTGGCTCCCTGCAATTTTATCACATGTATAGATTGGTATAACAACCACCACAATCAAGATATACAACTATTGTTGCATCACCACAAGGCTTTTCCATGCTGGTCCTTTATAGCTGTGTGTGTTTAAGTGTTCCAACCGTAACTTTCAAACTGGAGCTTGAGATTTGTAAAGTGACACATTTCTCTGGATCTCCTTTTTATTAACAAAATCCTTGCCTGGGGAAAGAATTTTTTGGGTTTTAAGAAGAGTTCTCCTGCCAAGAACTTGGCCTCCTGATCCCTGCCTTTAGCCAGTTCCAGCTACTTTCTAGTTTACTCCTTTTCCCTCTTTGTTTCCAATTTTTGGAGTCTTCTTCCTTAGCTACATTCCAAAGGCAGAAAGAGCAACTGTGTGTTTCTCTCAGGGAGTAAGATAATGGAAAACCTGTGTCAAAATTGTGACTCAGAAAAAACCCTGGACCTTTTGATTCTCCTTATCTAGGTCAGCAAATTATTTTAATAATATTTTATGTTTTAAAAAGTCAGAATTTCATTGAATTTTGTGTTTCATGTAATTTGAATGTTTCAACTTTTAATATTTCTATCAACAAGCATAATCTACTAATGTTCAAAATAGGGTTTTTTTTGTAAGACATAACTATTTGCAAGTCTTTTGATGTTGGTGAATACTTATTGGTGGTTAAAATTAGATTTCTTTTCTAGAGGACTTCGTTATCATAAAGGGTGGTTTCAAAAGTATATTCTCTCCATTTTGAAAATACCCATTGCCCTTTTATTCTTTGGGATATCTGGCATTTCACTGGTATTGTTTTATGGTCAGAGCCTGGAATTTTCTACTGTATAAACTTGATACTGAATCATGGTAGCAAAATTTTCTCAAAGATGTAGCCATTCTCTACAGAACATAATTGTGTATTTTAACAAAAACACCCAGGAATTTTAGATACTATAACCTCTTATGAGAATTTGACACCAAGGGTAGGTAGCCAAAGGTGGATTTACTGGAATTTAGAGCCAAGCTTCACTTCAAATGTGTAGCCAAGATTCAGCCATTCTAATAAAATAGCTGTTAATAATCTTAATAAAGTTGATATAGTATCATATACAGTTGACTGTTGAATAATATGGGTTTGAACTGTGCAGCTCTGCTTATACACAATTTTTTTTCAATAAATATAACCATCCCTTCGTATTCACCTTTATGGATTCAACCATTCATGGATTCAATAAACTACATATTGAATACGGTATTTTCATATTACCATCTGCAGTTTCCCAGCTACAGATGAAAGATAGTTTTTGATCTGCAATTTGTTGAATCCATGGATGTGAAGGGCCAACTAAGTTTTGGGGGAGTCAAAAGTTATATGAGGAATCTAAAAACAATATAAACAAAGTAGAAACAGACTTGTAGATACAGAGACTTGACTGATGGTTGTCATAAGTGTTGGAGGGATAGGTAAAAAAGGTGAAGAGATTGAGAAATACAGATTGGTAGTTACAAAATAGCCATGGGGATGTAAAGTACAGCATATGGAATATCATCAATAAAACTGTAATAACTATGTATGGTGCCAGGTGGGTACTGGAAATACCAGGGGAATCATTTTGCAAAGTATATGATTGTCTAACCACTATGCTGTACACCTGAAACTAATACAAAGTAATATGGAATGTAAAAATGTTTTGTGGGGATTTTCAACTGCTCAGGGGTTGGTATCCCTAACTCAGCATTATTTAGTTAGCTGTATACTTGGCTACAAAACCTATCAAACCAGTCATATAGAAAGTGAACTTGCTTGCTTCAGGTGTTTGTTTGCTCTTGTTCTCGTCTATCCTTAGGAGCCATTGTCATTTTCCTTTGGGTGAAGCATAGCCTCTAATCTTCAGTAGCAAATGGGCTGATGGTATTTTCGTAGTTGCTTTGCTGATAATCAGAGAAGGAACATCTTGAGCAAATTAATATTGGTCTTTTTCTTTCTGACCTCCTCTCCCAAAAACCTATTACTCAGGAGAGCTGCATGCCTTACTGAAAGTAAGCTAAAACAAGCTTCTTTTCTTTTTTTCCCTGTTCCAGGGAGCCTTTGCCTACATAGTCAATTATTTTATGTACGTCCTCTGGGCTCTCCTATTTGCCTTTCTTGCCGTGTCTCTTGTCAAGGTGTTTGCGCCTTACGCCTGTGGCTCTGGAATCCCTGAGGTGAGTCTCTAAAATGGCTTATAAATGCTAACAATGATGAATCTTCTTTGGTTAAAACACTTTAATATGTATTACAGCACATACCACAATATGAATATTAAACAGGATCAGATCCTGAGGTAATGTAGGGCCTTTTTAGGTCTTCCCTAAGTCTCCTCCCAGCCTGGGCCACCTGTACATTAACAGGAGTTGATTCATAGCCTCCTGTGGGTTCCTGGTGAACCAGGTTCCCGAAGACCTCCCCCATTCCCTACCCAAAAAGCTCCCATGGTTGATCCCAAGATTCTGGCCTGAGAACATAGTGGTATTGTTAACTTTGTCAGAACAGAAGAAAGAAAACTATTTTTGGCCCTGACCTTTGTGGCTCAGTTGGTTGGGCATCATTCCACAAATGAAAGATTGTGGGTTCCATTCCCAGTCAGGGCATATGCTTAGGTTGCTGGTTAGTTCCCTATTTGGGGTGTGTAAAAGAGGCAACTGATTGATGTTGCCCTCACACATCGATGTTTCCTTTCTCTCTTTCTGCCTCTCTTCCCCCTCTCTAAATATAAATAAATGAAATCTTTTAAAAAAGGAAGAAAACTATTGTGCTATATATTCTACAATCTAATTTGCACTAGTAAAATGGTGATTAAAACCCTATTTCTAACTATTTTTGCTTTAGATTGCTTGTTAATGACTGAAACCACTGAGATTTAAGGTTACCCAGATGATCTTGCCCTTCTCTGCCTCCTGACCAAGTCATAGTTACAAATTTTTCTGGCAGAGAATCAGGCTATATGAGTCTGTAAGGAAAATACTTTTCCTTTCCACCTCCCCTTCTCTATATATACACTCTCATACTTATAATACTCCCTTGCCTAGCTATCGTATGGCCAAAAAGAAAGAAAGAAAAGATATAAACATGAAAACTTAACAGTTCTTTCTTGGGCTCCTGGGCTCCCCCCAAAAATAGAATCACTGTAGGTCAGGCATTTATGTCACTTGTTCAAAAGGTATAGTTTCTACAACGAGGTCCAGATTGTTGCTTCTTATCCTGCTTCACTTGCTTAGTCTATATCCAATCTCTTTGTGTTTGACCTGCAGATAAAAACTATTTTGAGTGGTTTTATTATTAGGGGCTATTTGGGTAAGTGGACCCTGATTATCAAAACCATCACACTGGTGCTGGCAGTGTCTTCTGGCTTGAGCCTGGGCAAAGAGGGCCCCCTAGTGCACGTGGCTTGCTGCTGTGGGAACATCTTGTGCCACTGCTTCAACAAATACAGGAAGAATGAAGCCAAGCGCAGAGAGGTAATAATAACAAACGACCTTAATGGTGTCTGTCTGTCTGTCTCTTTCTCTCTCTGGTGAGATTATAAATGGTACCTCCATAGGGATAAAAAGTTGGGAATTGTACCAATGTAAATGCAAATACCCTTTGACTCAGGAGTTCCACTTCTAGGAATTTATCCTATAGATGTCCTAGCATGTGTGTGCCAAAGATGTATAGGAATAGTCAGTGCAGCATTTGTCAACAGAGTGAAAAACTGAAACAATCACAATGTGCATCAACAGGGAACTGATTGAATGAACAATCATCTGTATGTACTATAGAATACTATGCAACTGTTAAGACTGAGATAACCTTTAATATACTGACATTGAAGGATGGCTAGAAAACACTGTTAGGTTTTAAAAAATCAATTTAAGAATAAAGTATATAGTATAACGTTTCATTTTATTTTATTTATTGTATTTTTTCAATCATCATTTATACCCCATACCCTCTTCTACTTCCACTGTTGTCCATGTTCATGAGTTTTCTCTTTTTTTTTTTTTGCTCAATTCCTCTACCTCCAGCTCCCCCTGCTGAGCTGTCATTCTGCTTTCTATCTATGAGTCTGTCTGTTTTGCTTGTTAGTTCAGTTTGTTCATTGGATTCCATATATGAGTGAAATCATATGGTATTTGTCCTTCTCTGACTGGCTTATTTCATTTAGCATAATGTTTTCCAGGTCCATCTATGCTGTCACAAAGGGTAAAATTTTCTTCTTTTTTATGGCTGAGTAGTAATCTACCATGTAAATATCCCATAGTTGTTTTATCCACTCATCTACTGATGGGCACTTGGGCTGCTTCCAAATGTTGGTGATTGTAAATAACACTGCAATGAACATAGTGGTGCTTATGTTCTTCTGAATTAGTGTTTCAGGTTTCTTCCAATAAATTTCCAGAAGTGGAATTGCTACATCATAAGGCAATTCCATTTTTAATTTTTTGAGTAAACTCCATATTGCTTTCCACAGTGTGTATATGCACCTAGAAAGAAAATGTCTGAAAAGTGATTTTACCCCAAACTGTTAAAAAATGTCTACCTCTAGTAAATGGGAAACTGAGGTGATAGTAAAGGAGAAATAAGGACTTAAACTTTTTTATTATGTATAATTCTATATAAGTATGTGCTGTTTCTATTACAAAATAAGTTACAAAACAATAGAAGATTTTTTTTAAAGAAGTTGTTTATTCCTGTGAGAAAATACACACTCAGCACATTTCAGATTCTTTGTGCTTTATTTCTGCCTGATGCCAAAGTAAATGTGTCTCTGTATTGGATCTCCTTCTACCCTCTGTCTTAACCCCACTAAATTCATTCCGCCACAGCATCTCTGTAGGCATTCTCATGTTTATGGTTTTGATGAAGAAGAACAATTTTTTAAAAAATGTTCCAAGTCATTGTTTACTTTTGTCCTGTTATAATTAAGGATTTAAGAAAATAATGATTCTTGCTCTATTTTCCTTGAATTACAAAGAAATCACATATAGAATGGGTCAAGACCAAGGCCATTTTATTAGAAAGGGTTTTTGACAAAATTGCAACCTACTGATTTATTTTGAAAAAGAAAAAGCAAAATAAAAGGCCTAGAAGGAAATTTAAAGATGTTGAAATTTCAAATATGGAATACATTTTGGTAGCTCAAGGGGGAAAGTTCTTGGCAGGAGAGAAAGGCTAACAAGGGGGGTGGGACAGATTGTTTAGTTACCTGTCAAATGGTAGAGGGACATAAATGCAATATTAAGGTGGTGGGGTTGTTATATGGGAATTATGATCAACAAAAGCTAAAGAGCTGATAAAAACATTGTAACTGGTGAGTGAAATGTTGATTGTTGCTGGTTTTGCATGGGTAGAGGTGATTTTGAAATTGTAGGTTGCTGGTTACTTTCATTCCATAAGAGTGACATTTTTGTTCAAATAATTATAAAATGGGAGGGAAGTTTGATCTGGCTCTTTCTCTGTACAAATGTCATACATTTTTCTAACTACACTCATGAATATTTGAATCTTTAGTTTACTCCCTATTGCTTATTTAGACTTCCCAGTTATTTTTTCCTGTTGATTGGCAGCAACCTTTTGTGTCAAAGTGGGCAAATAGTTGAATAAAATAGAAATTTGAGGAGCAAGGGGATAGACAGACTCAACTCTAAAATGTAAAATTATAGCAAGCTAGCCACCTCGATTCTTCTTCCACATAATTCATCCTAGACAGTCACTAAAATCCCCTTTCTCAAGTTTCATGGTGACTGTCATACTTCTCAGATGAAAGCCATTATAGCCATATATTTCAAAGTCCTCCTCAGTTAGCATCATATATCTCACTCTTCCCTCCCCTTAATTTTTCTAGGCCATGCTATACTCCCAGAGAAACCTGCCTACTTATTTCTCTAAGAACCATTTTATTCTTCAAAAATTCTTAATTTTGTTCAGCTTTCTCTTTGAAATACTTTCTTACTACTCCAAATCATATTATCATTACATAGCAAGTGGAATCTAATGAAAGAACTCTATATTTCCATTAATTCTGGTGCATTTGTCATGCTTTTTGCCTCCCTCTTGCCACACCTAAACATATTTAGGTCTTCTCTTCCCTTCAGAATCTATTACCAACTTGCTTCTAGTTACCTCCCTATTTCTTTTTTCATAGGTCCCTGACATGGAGTAGTATACATAGTATAGGAGAATCTAAATACCTATTGTATGAATATTTGGAGCTCCTGAATAGCTGTGAGTGCATTGTGACTTCGGTGTTGTATCATTACAGCCTTTCTTAAAATTTCATTTAAAAAGCATTTTTTTACAAAGAAAGTACTATGTAAATACATCATTGTAAATGCTTCATTTAGGTGGTGAGTAGGTCTGCAAACTCAAATTCAGTTACTAAATTGAGCATTAGGGATGGGAGCATATTTTGACATAAAGCACATGCCTAAATTAATTACAAAGGAAAAGCCCTATATATATTCAAGCATGTGAAACATGTGTTTTAAATCCAGCATACAGTGTTTGCTCTCAAAGTAAATATAAATTGAACTTAATTTTTGATAAACTGCATATGGAGCATGTAAATTTTTTTAATGTTTAATAACCACTAACATTCCTTTTAAAGCTGTGATTGACCATAGGAAAGTAACATTATTCTATTGCTAATTTTGAGTTTTGGTTTGTAGGTCTTGTCGGCTGCAGCAGCAGCTGGTGTATCTGTTGCCTTTGGAGCACCTATTGGCGGAGTATTATTCAGCCTAGAAGAGGTAACTACTTTTAATTGTTTGTAGCACATGTGCATGCTCTTGTGTTGAGAATCCCGGCCATTATCTATGCACATGGCAGTTCCAAAGTGTTTTCCATAACTTAGTGCTTTACCATGTGACCAGAAATCTCTGGGAAGTTCTCATTCTGAGTTCTTAATTCCTGCAGCACCAACTTTTCACCTGAAATAGTTTCTTCATATTGACTGAGTTTGCTTTTTCACCTTCTCTCTTATAGGTCAGCTACTATTTTCCCCTCAAAACGCTGTGGCGTTCATTCTTTGCAGCTTTGGTGGCAGCATTTACTCTACGTTCCATCAATCCATTTGGGAACAGCCGTCTGGTTCTATTTTACGTGGAGTTTCACACCCCGTGGCATCTCTTTGAGCTTGTGCCATTCATTCTGCTGGGCATATTTGGTGGTCTGTGGGGAGCTTTATTTATCCGCACAAACATTGCCTGGTGTCGGAAGCGTAAGACCACCCAGTTGGGCAAGTATCCTGTCATAGAGGTACTTGTGGTTACAGCCATCACTGCCATCCTGGCTTTCCCCAATGAATACACCCGGATGAGTACAAGTGAGCTCATTTCTGAACTGTTTAATGACTGTGGTCTTCTGGACTCCTCTAAGCTCTGTGATTATGAGAACCATTTTAACACAAGCAAGGGGGATGAATTACCTGACAGACCTGCTGGTGCGGGAGTCTATAGTGCCATGTGGCAGCTGGCCTTAACACTCATAATGAAAATTGTCATTACCATATTCACCTTTGGCATGAAGGTGAGGAGATTCTTTTGGTACTTGAATGTATGTGTGGTTGTGGGTTTGGAGGGTAAAGCAAAGATATACAATCCTCATAGCTCATGTGGCACTTCCAAATTCACTTAACGTTATTCCCCAACCCCAAAAGGCCTTTTTACCCCCATATACCCTCAACAACTTTTTAGACAATTGTACCTCTATCTAAAGTTCCTAGTTTTAGGTCAAATGTAAACCTTGGTGCTGAGATTTTAAGTAGAAATATTATAAACTTTTTAGAGGAATGTATTTATTCTTATTCATTGTGTATTAAAACAATATCTGACCAACATAGTGTTGGTCCTTAAAGGGTAGCTTTATAGTTTCCCAATAAAACAAAATATTAGGTTGAACAAAATGAAGTTGCCAATATTCAACCATTTTGACCATTAAAAAGCAATTTCATGTGGTTTAGCCCAATGTATATCTAAATGTATTTTTTACACTTGGTATAAATGTTCAATTATCAAGAACTTCACAGGTGCCCCTAAATTAATATTTAAACTGTTAGAAGAAGACAGCAGGGAGCAAATTTTACTTTTAGTACCCATTATCATTCCCATGTTTCAGAAGAAACCAGAAAAGAACTTTTGTTAAGGTATTTTCCTCCTTCCTGGTTTTTATTTGTATTTTCTTTAACACCCCACTACCAAGTTATTTTCTTCTATTCTGTAGGGAGGTGGAGATTCAAATCAGGGAGTTAGAGATAGCAATTCAGTTTAGGCAGTACTGAAATCTCTGAGATGATATAATCTATCCTCCTCAACACCTTGGAAAGTTTTGTAGTGCTTCTTGAATAATTTTTGCTTGTGGCTTCATTCTTTTATTTAAAGTGAATTTTCCAACCATCAGATTCAAATGTATCCCAAAAATCAAACACAAGTTATTTAAAAATAATCTACTGTTTTGATTATCCTTGTCATATTTCTCTCTGAGCTCAGAAAATTGAGAAGTCACTATAATATTTTAAGAGTCAAAAAAGTGGGAAAATAGATAAGTGTTCCTTTTCTGAATAGTCATGCAACCACAGTCACTATCTCATTTAAAAGAATCAATAACTTAATCTTTTTATTGTTACAAAATAAACTGAATCCTAATGTGCCATTCTTTTTGTGTGAGCAACAGGTTAAGGTTCAATATATGAGAGTAGTTATGAGCATTCCATTTAAACTCAAGCACCAGTATTTTACTAAATCTTGGCCTTGGGTGAGTTACTTAACCTCTCTGAACCTTGGGTTCTCTGTGATTTGGGAATAATAGCACCCATCTCCTTAAATCTTATGTTTAGAGCATTCAGAATAGAAAATAGTAGATAGTCAATAAAGGATAATTGTTGTTGATAAGAATTCAAAATTGGGGAAGGTGTCTGCATATATGAGAAACTCCATCTATTTTCCTTTTTCTTTGAGAAAGGCTTAATTTCTGCCTCCAGTTCTGTGTTGGTCTGGAGAGTTCAGGCTCTAGCCTGATGGACCCCGAATAAGGGTAAGCTTCTTTGCAGTTGTACTTGCCTACACGTCCCAGAGAACCTCTAGTCTCTGTAGTGTTACACAAGTCTTTACAGCCACTTGCTAGCATAGAGCGTAGTTACATTGGTATTGGCCTGTTTGCTTTGCAGAGGGTCAATCTCCTACCATTACATATACCAGGCAATCCTGTCATTTCTCACTAACCTTATGTTGCTTTCTCTTTGCAGATCCCTTCTGGCCTCTTTATCCCTAGCATGGCTGTTGGTGCTATAGCAGGTCGACTTTTAGGAGTAGGAATGGAACAACTGGCCTATTATCACCATGACTGGGGCATCTTCAATAGCTGGTGTAGCCAAGGAGCTGATTGCATTACTCCTGGTCTTTATGCGATGGTTGGTGCTGCAGCCTGCTTAGGTAAGTAGTGTTTGTATTAATTTCAAAGAAGTTGCTACCCAGGTGACATAATAATGAAGGATGAGCCCTGGATGGTGTGGCTCAGTGGATTGAGTGCCAGCCTGTAAATCAAAGGGTCACCAGTTTGATTCCCAGTCTAGGGCACATGCCTGGCTTGTGGGCCAGGTCTCCAGTAGGGGGCTCATGAGAGGCAACCACACATTGATGTTTCTCTCCCTCTCTCTCTCCTTTCCCCTCTCTAAGTAGAAATAAAAAATATTTTTTAAACAAATAAGAATGATGTTAAACACAATTGACTATGGATTTTTTTCCCCACAAATTTTTGACTACAGGTTTTTTAAGTGACCATTTCCTGTAGGGTTTGCCATTTTTCAAGTGCTTTAAGAAAGCATTCTTGATTGCCCAAAATACAGTTTTTTTCCCCATCCTTCCCTGCCCTGAGTTTTTTCAGATATATCAAGCCTATTACTCCATCCTGATCTTTGTACTTGCTGCTCCCTCTTCAAAGAATGCTTCTCCCCAAGCTGTAGCATAGTTGGTTCCTTTCAGCCTTCAAACTTTCTGCTAAATATTTTTCCACACAGCAGTTTTCTCTAACTGCTTTATCAAAAGTAGGTTCCCCTATTGTCTATGCTAGCATATTCCTTTATTAAATACTTGGTAAATACTTAAAAAATGAAAGCATTCTTTACCACATATCTACATTCCTCTATAAGTAATTTTATTCTCAAATTCCATCATACTGAGGAAATCATTAGAAATTTACACAAAGATATCTGCACAAAAATGTTCATCATGATATTATTTATAGTAGCAAAAAGTTGGAATCATCCTAAATGTGCACCGTAAGGGATTGGTTAAATAAATTATGGTACAGGTATGTGAGGTTATATTATGCACCCATTGAATGTAATATTGATATTTAACATCATTAAACACAATTTTAAATAAATATCATTTAAAATTTTTTATTGTTATTCTATTACAGTTGGCTCATTTTTCCCACTTTGCCCTCCTCTATCCAGACCACCCCCCAGACCACCCCCACTCCCTCAGTCAATCTCCACACCATTGTGCATGTCCATGGGTCATTCATACATGTTCTTTGACCAGTCCCTTCCCCTTCTTTCCACCATTATTCTCCTCCACCCTCCCTCTGGCCACTGTCAGTCTATTCCATGATTCTATGCCTCTGGTTCTATTTTGCTTGTTACTTCATTTTGTTCATTAGATTCCTCTTATAGGTGAGATCGTATGGTATTGGTTTTTTACCACCTGGCTTATTTCACTTAGCATAATATTCTCTAGTTCCATCCATGCTGCAGCAAAAGGGAGGAATTCCTTCTTTCTTTCCTTTTTTTAGATACCTTCATATTTATTTGTTCCTTCATTTATCATTTCCTTTTTCTTTAATTACTTTATTTCTTTTTTCACATTTTTTATTGTTGTTCAGATACAATTGTCTCCATTTTCCCTCCAACACTGCCCCCCACCCCAGCCATTTCCCACTTCCCACCCTTGATCCTAAGCCCCTTTGGTTTTGTCAATATGTCCTTTATACATGTTCCTGAAAATCCTTTCCCTTTTCCCCCTCATTATCCCCTCTTGCCTTCCCTCTAGTCACTGTCAGTTTGTTCTTAATTTCAGTGTCTTTGGTTATATTTCACTTGCTTGTTTCTTTTGTTGATTAGGTTCCACTTATAGGTGAGATCAGTATTTCTCTTCTACATCTTGGCTTACTTCACTTAGCATAATGCTGTCCAGCTCCATCCATGCTGTCGCAAAGGGTAGGAGCTCCTCCTTTCTTTCTGCTCTGTAGTATTCCATTGTGTAAATGTACCATAGATTTTTTATCCATTCATTTACTGATGGGCACTTAGGTTTCTTCCAGTACTTGGCTATTATAAATTGTGCTATTATAAACATAGCAGTGCATAGGTTCTTTTGGATTAGTGTTTCAGGGTTCTTAGGGTATAATCCCAGCAGCACAGTTGCTGGGTCCAAAGGCAGTTGAATTTTTAATATTTTGAGGAAACTCCGTACTATTTTCCACAGTGGCTGTACCAGTCTGCACTCCCACCAACAGTGCACTAGGGTTCCCTTTTCTCCACATCCTCACCAGCACTTGTTGTTTGTTGATTTATTAATGGTGGCCATTCTTACAGGTGTGAGGTGATATCTCATTATGGTTTTAATTTGTATGTCTCTGATGATTAGTAATGTTGAGCATTATTTCATATGTCTATGGACTGTCTGCATGTCCTCCTTGGAGAAGTGTCTATTCAGGTCCTTTGCTTCTTTTTTAATTGGATTGTTTGTCTTCCTGGTGTTAAGTCGTATGAGTTCTTCATATATTTTGGAGGTTAAACTCTTATCCAGTGTATCATTGGCAAATATGTTCTCCCATACAGTCAGTTCCCTTTTCACTTTGATGATGATTTCTTTAACCATGCAGAAGCTTTTAAATTTGATGTAGTCCCATTTGTTTATTTTTTTCCTGCATTTCCCTTGTCCTAGGAGATATATTAGCAAAAATATTGCTCATGGACTATCTGAAATTTTACTGCCTATGTTTTCCTCAAGGACTCTTATAGCATCATAATTTATATTTAAGTCTTCTATCTGTTTTGAGTTTATTCTGGTGTATGGTGTAAGTTTGTAGTCCAGTTTTTGTTTGTTTGTTTGTTTTGCATGTACCAGTCCAGTTCTCCCAACTCCATTCATTGAAAAGGCTATTTTTTTTTACTTCATTGTATGTTCATGTTCCCTTCATCAAATATTAATTGACCATGGGGACCTGGGCTTATTTCTGGCCTCTCTATTCTGTTCCATTTATCTATCTATCTGTTCTTATGCTTAGTACCAGACTGTTTTGACTACAATGGCCCTAGTTGGTCCAAAGGTTGTGGGTTATTGTTAAACTTATTACAGTGGCCTTGTAGTATAGTTTGATATCAGGTATTGTGATCCCTCCTACTTTGTTCTTCTTTCTCAAGATTGCTGAGGCTATTCAGGGTCTTTTTTGGTTGCACATAAATTTTTGAAATACTTGTTCTAGATTTGTGAAATATGCCATTCATATTTTAATGGGAATTACATTGAATCTATACATTGCTTTGGGTAGTATGGACATTTTAATGATGTTAATTTTTCCAGTCCATGAACATGGTATATGCTTCCATTTGTTTGTGTCTTCCTTAATTTCTTTCTTCAGTGCTCTACAGTTTTCCTAGTATAGGTATTTTACCTCCTTGGTTAAGTTTATTCCTAGGTACTTTATTTTTCTTGTTGGTATAGTAAATGGGATTTTATTCCTAGTTTGTGTTTCTGGTATTTCATTGTTGGTGTACCAAAATGCAGTTGACTTTGACTATTGACTTTGTATCCTGCTGTTTTGCCAAATTCACTTATTAGGTTGAGTAGAGGTTTTTTTAAAGTCTTTATTCATTTATTTTTAGAGAGAGAGGAAGGGAGGGAGAAAGAGAGGGAGAGAAACAACAATGTGTGGTCACCTCTCACATGGCTTGCACTGGGGACCTGGCCTGCAACACAGGCATGTGCCCTGACTGGGAATTGAACCAGCAACCCTTTAGTTTGCAACTCACACTCAATCCACTGAGCCATACCAGCCAGGGCAGGTCGAGTAGTTTTTTGTGTAGACTATAGGGTTTTCTAGGTACACTACCATGTTTTCTGTAAATAATGATATTTTAGTTCCTCCTTTCCAATGTAGATGACTTTTACTTCTTTTTTCTAGTCTGATCACTGTGGCTAGAAATTCCAGTAGAATGTTAAATATTCAAGATTGGTGAAAGCAGACACCCTTGTCTTGTTCCTGATCTTAAAGGGGAAGCTTTTAGTTTTTGCCTATTAAGGATGATGTTGGCAGTAGATTTCTTGTATATACCCTTTATTATGTTGGGGTATACTCCCTCTATTCCCTCTTTGGTGAGTGTTTTTATCATAAATGGGTGCTGGATTTTATCAAATGCTTTTTCAGCATCTATTGATATGATCGGGTGATATTTGTCCTTCATTTTGTTTATGTGGTATTTTACATTTATTGATTTGAAAATATTATACCATCCTTGCATCCCTGGGGTGAATCCCACTTGATTGTGTTATATGATCTTTTTAATGTATTGCTGGATAAATTTTAAATCATATACAAAATCTTCCCACTATAAAGTGGGAAGGAGCATGTGGGGAATTATTATTATATTTATTGTTTATGTTGTTGCAGTTGTTCCTGATTTTTCTCAATTTCCTCACCTCCACCCACCCCCACCCTGTCCTCCCCCAAACCAGTCCCTATGTTGTTGTTCCTGTCCATGGATTGTGCATAAATGTTTGGTTAGTCCCTTCACCATCTTTCATCCCATCGCTCCTCTTCCTTTCCGGTCACTGTCTCTATGTTTTATATGTCTAAGCTTCTGTTAACATTTTGTTTGTAGGTTTATTGCATTCATTAGATTCCACATATAAGTGAGATCATGTGGTATTTGTCTTTCACTGAGTGGCATATTCATTTAGTATAATTTTTTCCAGGTCCATCCAGGTTGTTGCAAGATGTAAGAGTTTCTTCTTTTTTACTACTGTGTAGTATTTCATTGTGTGAATGTACCACAGCTTTTTTATCCACTCATCTACTGATGAGCATTTAGACTATTTCCAAATGTTGCATATTGTAAATAGTGCTGCTATAAACATAGGGGTGCATACATTTTTTGTGTTGGTGTTTTAGGATATCTGGGGTATATTCCCAGAAGTGTAATCACTGGGTCAAAAGGCATTTCCATTTTTAGCTTATTAAGGAAATTCCATACTGTTTTCCACAGTGGCTGTACCAGTCTGCATTCTCACCAACAGTGTACTAGGGTTCCCTTTTCTCCACAACCTTGCCAACACTTGTTGTTTATTGATTTATTGATGGTAGCTATTCTGACAGGTGTAAGGTGATATCTCATTGAGGTTTTACTTTGCAGTTCTCTGATGATTAGTGATGTTGAGCATTTGTTCATGTCTACAGGTACTCTGTATGTCCTCTTTGGAGAAGTTCTTTTCAGGAGTTTTGCTCATTTCTTAATCAGGTTGTTTGTCTTCCTGGTGTTGAGTTGTATTAGTCCTTTGTACATTTTGGATATTAAACCCTTGTCAAATGTGTCATCGGCAAAAATGTCCTCCCATACAGTGGGTCCCCTATGTGTCTTGCTGATGGTTTATTTAGCTGTACAGAAACTTTTTAATTTGATCTAGTTTCCTTTGTTTATTTTCTGCTTTGTTTCCAGTGCCTTGGGAGATATGTTGGCAAAAATATTTCTAGGTTGTATATCTGACATTTTACTCTGTATGTTTTCTTCTAGGATTTTTATGATTTCAGAAATTACATTTAAGTATCTCATGCATTTTGAGTTTATTTCTGTGTATGGTGTAAATTGGTGGTCTAATTTCTTTTTTTTTTCCACATGTACCAGTCCAGTTCTCCCAACACCATTTATTGAAGAGATTGCCTTTGCTCCTTTTTATGCTCTTACTACCTTTATCAAATATCAATTGTCCATACAGGCATGGGTTTATTCCCAGACTCTCCGATCTGTTCCATTGATCTATTTGTCTGTTCTTGTGCCATTACCAGGCTGTTTTCATTACAGTGGCCTTATAGTATAGTTTGTTATCAGGAGTCGTGATAACTCCGACTTTTTTCTTTTTTTGTAAGATTGCTGAGACTATTTGGGGTCTTTTATGGTTCCATATAAATTTTTGGACTATTTTTTTCTAGTCCTGTGAAGTATGCCATTGGTGTTTTAATAGGAATTGCATTGAATGTATAAGTTGCTTTAGGTAGAATTGCCATTTTAATGATGTTAATTCTTCCAATCCATGAACACAGTATATGCTTCCACTTATTTGTATATTCCTCAATTTCTTTCTTCAGTGGCCTATAGTTTTCAGAGTATAATTATTTTTTATGTCCTTGGTTAAACTTATTCCTAGGTATCTTATTTTTCTGTTGTTGTTGCAATATGAAATGGGTTTATTTTCCTAGTATCTCTCTCTGGTAGCTCATTATTGGTATATAAAAATGCCATCAAACTTTGGGTATGAATTTTTTATCCTGCTACTTTGCCAAATTCATTTATTAGATCTAGTAGTTTCTTGGTGAAGTCTTTAGGGTCTTCTATGTACAATATCATGTCATCTGCTAATAATGACAGCTTTACTTTTTCCTTTCCAATTTCAGTGCCATTTCTTTTTCTTCTCTGATCACTGTGGCTAGGTCTTCCACTACTACGTTGAATAAGAATGATGAAAGTGGACACCTCTGTCTTGTTCATGATCTTAAGGGGAATGCTTCTGGTTTTTGCCCATTGAAAATGTTGTTACCTGTAGGTTTTTCATGTATGGCATTTATTATATTGAGGCGTGATCCCTCTATTCCCCCTCTGCTAAGAGGGTTTTTTAAAAAATTATGAATGTGTGCTGGATTTCATCAAGTGTTTTCCTGCATGTATTGATATGGTCACGTGAATTTTGTCTTTCATTTGTTTATGTGATGAATCACATTTGATGATTTGCAAATATTGTACCAACCTTACATCCCCAGGATAAATTGTACTTGATTGTGGTGTATGATCTTTTTGATGTATTGTTGGACCTGGTTTACTAATATTTTGTTGAGGATTTTAGTACCTATGTTTATCAGGGATACTGGCCTATAATTTTCTTTCTTTGTTGTATCATTACCCTCTTTTGGAATTAGGATGATATTGGCCTTATAGAAAGAGCTTAGAAGTCTTCCTTCCTCTCAAATTTTTTGGAACAGTTTGAGAAGGATTGGAGATAGTTCTTCCTTGAATGATTGGTAAAATTCACCTGAGAAGCTTTCATGTCCAGGGCTTTTGTGTGTTGGGAGTTTTTTGATTACTGCTTCAATTTTATTTGTTTTTGATCTATTCAGATTTTTTGCTTCTTATTGATTCAGTTTTGGAAGATTGTATGCTTCTAGAAATTTGTCCATTTCTCCCAGGTTGACCAATTTCTTGGCATATAGTTATTCATAGTAATTTCTTATAATATCTTGTATTTCTGTGATGTCAGTTGTTAGTTTGCCTCTTTCATTTCTGCTTTTATTTATTTGTGTCCCCTCTCTCCTTTGTTTGATGAGTTTGGTTAAAGTCCATCAGTCTTGTTTATCTTTTCAAAGAACCAGCTCCTGGTTTCATTGATATTCTGTATTGTTTTTTTAGTCTCTGTATCATTGATTTCTGATCTGATCTTGATTTCATTTGCCTCCTTCTATTTACTCTAGGCTTTGTTGTTGTTGTTTTAGTTTTCTTAGGCATAGCGTTAGATTGTTTATTTGAGATTTCTTTTGATTTTTGAGGTAGGCATGTAATGCTATTAAGTTCCTTCTCAGGACTGCTTTTGCTGTGTCCCATAGGTTTAGGGTTGTTGTATGTTCATTTTCATTTATTTCTAGGAATTTTTTTACCTCCTCCTTAACCTCATTGGTTCCCTGTTCATTATTTAATAACATGTCACAGTATTTGGCCTCCAAGTATTTGAATGTTTCTTACTCTTTTTATTGAGGTTGATTTCTAATTTTATTCCATTGCAATCTGAGCAAATGCCTGATGTGACTTCAGTTTTCTTGAACTTGTTGGGGCTTATTTTGTCTCCTAACATGTGGTCTGTCTTTGGGAATGATCTATGTGCACTTGAGAAGAATCTATATACTTCTTTGGTGTGAAATGTTCTGTATATATCAATTAAATCCATTTGATTTAGTGCACAGGTGGCAAACATAAGGCTTGTGGGCCCTTCACCTTGTTTTATCTAGCCTGGCATCTTATTTTTACCCAGCAGCAGTGTAGAGCTCTCGCTTAACTCTTAAGAAGTAGTTATATTTATACAGTCCTAAAATTACATTTGACCCTTTGAAGGCAACCATAAGGCTGATGTGGCCCCCAGTGAAAATGAGTTTGACACCCCTGATTTAGTATGTTGTTTAATGTTGCTATATCCTTGTTGGTTTTTCAGTCTGGAACATCTGTTCATTGTTGATAGTGGGTTGTTTAAATCCCCTATTATGACAGTATGGTTGTCAATATCTTCCTTAAAGTCCACCAAGATTTCTTTTATGTATTTAGGTGCTGCTATATTGGGCACATATATGCTTACAAGGGTTATGTCCTCTTGTTGGATTGTAAACATATATACACTCAATACAGCAGCACCTAAATATATAAAAGAAATCTTGGTGGGGGTGCAGGGTGGAGGGGGATAAAGGGGAGAAAAAAATTGGGATGATTGTAATAGCATAATCAATAAAATATACTTTTAAAATTAGGATTAATCAGTATCAAGATCAAGTCAAAAAAATAAAAAAAGAATATATGATGTGACCTTCTTTATCTTTTATTATGGCTTTAGTTTCTATGTCTGTTTTGTCTCTTATAAGGATTACTACACCTGCTTTTGTGTTGTTTCTATTTGCATGAAATATTTTCCTCCATTCCTTTACTGTCAGCCTGTGGAAACCTTTTGCTCTGAGTTTGGTCTCTTGTAGACAGTGTATATCTGGGTCATGTTTTCTTATCCATTCAGCTACAGATTGGATCTGGGTTATGTTTTCGCATCCATTCAGCTACTGATTGATCAGTCTTTTGATTGGAACATTTAATCCATTTACATTTAAGGTTATTATACATAGGTACTTATTTATTGCCGTTTTTATATTGTACCTATGTTTTTTGCTCCATTCTTGTTACAGAAGGTCCTTTAACTTTTCTTGCAGTGCTGGTTTGGTGGCAATGGACTCTTTTAACCTTTGTTTGGAAAGCTCTCTATTTAACCTTCAGTTTTAAATGATAGCCTTCCTGGGTAGAGCAATCTAGGCTATATGTTCTTAGCTTTCATTACTCTGAATATTTCCTGCCAATCTCTATCACCTATGGTGTTTCTGTTGAGAAATCAGCTGAGATTGTAATGGGGGCTTCCTTGCATGTTACTGACTGCCTCTATTGCTGCCTTTAAAATTCTCTTTGGCTTGTGGGGAATTAAGCATATAATATGAGGTTATGTATGTAAAATATATTTTTTGCATAGTAAATAACTTAAAGAGTCATTCAAATTTTTTACTGTGCTTATTTCTAGGTAATGAACTTATAGATAATGACTTTCTTTTATATCCTTTTGTTATTTTCTGATTTTTTCTCAATGTGTCTGCATATCCCAGAGAACCTGTAGTCTCTGTAGTGTTATGCAAATTATGGATATCTTCTGCAACTACTTTTATAATTGGGGGGAGTAACAGATGAAACAAAAAGAAGAATTGAGAAGGTATCTTATAATATTGTAGATGTTGTTTTGAGAACTGTGACTATGAGCATTGTAAACTTTCTTTAATGTACTGCTGGAGTCTGTGCAGTTACATGTGAGACCTCCTTTTAACAATGTTTTTGGTAAATAAGCTGTTCCTGAATGGGACTTGTAGGAGGATAACTGTAATAAATCTTATACTTTTCCTGCCTTCAATAGCCTTGTTTGTTACTTTTCAGGTGGAGTAACTCGGATGACCGTTTCTCTTGTTGTCATAATGTTTGAACTAACTGGTGGCTTGGAATACATTGTGCCTCTCATGGCTGCAGCAATGACAAGCAAGTGGGTAGCAGATGCTCTTGGGCGGGAGGGCATCTATGATGCCCACATTCGTCTCAATGGATACCCCTTTCTTGAAGCCAAAGAAGAGTTTGCTCATAAGACCCTGGCAATGGATGTGATGAAACCCCGGAGAAATGATCCTTTGTTGACTGTCCTTACTCAGGACAGTATGACTGTGGAAGATGTAGAGACTATAATCAGTGAAACCACTTACAGTGGCTTCCCAGTAGTGGTGTCCCGGGAGTCCCAAAGGCTTGTGGGTTTTGTCCTCCGAAGAGATCTCATTATTTCAATTGGTAAGGATTCCAGAAAAAGGGGTAATAGAATCAACTGTGGAGATAAGTAAATATTCATGAAATAGGGGAAGATAAAGGGAAGAGGGGAGTAGTTAGGAGACAGAAATAACACTTTAATTTTTAATCCCCCCCCATTTTTTCAAATAGAAAATGCTCGAAAAAAGCAGGATGGAGTTGTGAGCACATCCATCATTTATTTCACTGAGCATTCTCCTCCAATGCCACCATACACTCCACACACCCTAAAGCTTCGGAACATCCTGGATCTCAGCCCCTTCACTGTGACTGACCTGACCCCCATGGAGATTGTCGTGGATATCTTCCGCAAGCTGGGACTGCGGCAGTGTCTGGTTACACACAATGGGTGAGAGCTCTTTGGTGAAGGCAAATTGGATTGTGGAAACACTGTAGAGAGATAAAGAAAGAATAACCTAATTCATACAAACATTAGTAGCATTTACAGGCCTTTTTGAAGCTCTGAGATGAAGGTGGATGTGTTTCTTTGATTGTCGTAATTAATAGAAAAGGAGTTAGGGAAGAAAATGTGTTTGAGAGGTGTAAACTGCTGGTTGCACATTATAAATTACTCAGTTCCTTCCCACAAAGGAAACAGCTATGTTCTTATGAAAAGACAGCACTGAGATTATAATGGTATTAAGTAGTATCCTTACAATACCTTCATTATTATTTGAGTATGAGAAAACCAAGTTTCAATGAGATTGAAAGATTTACATTAGGGCTCCCAGTTAGGATATAGTAGAGGTACCCTTTACACATAAGTCTTTTGACTCCCAAGGCCAAGGCTCTTTCTTTCTGGGACATTTCTTATGCAGTAACAGAAGAGCTGCTATTTTTATTGGAAAAGAAGGGAAGTTGAGCAAAAGGGTATAATAGATGTATTATAGGATTGATTTTTTAAAGTATTTTTTATTGACTATGCTATTACAGTCTTCCCAATTTTCCCCCTTTATCCCCCCTCCGCCCTGCACTCCCCAACCCTCCAGCATTCCCCGCCCTTAGTTCATGCTCATGGGTTGTACATATAAGTTCTTTGAGTCCTCTGTTTCCTATACCATTTTTTATCTCTCCCTGTCTATTTTATGCCTACTAATTATGATTCTTCTTCCCTGTACCTTTCCCCCCATTCCTCCCTTCCCCTTCTCCACTGAAATCCCTCCATGTGATGTCCATTTCTCTGATTCTGTTCCTGTTCTGGTTGTTGGATTAATTTTTTATTTCCTTTATTTCTCTTTTTTTAGGTTCATTTGTTGACAGTTGTGAGTTTGTTGTCATTTTACTGTTCATATTTTTTATCTTCTTTTTCTTAGGTAAGTCCCTTTACCATTTCATATAATAAGGACTTGGTGATGATGAACTCCTTTAATTTGACTTTATCTGAGAAGCACTTTATCTGCCCTTCCATTCTAAATGAAAGCTTTGCTGGAGAGAGTAATCTTGGATGTAGGTCCTTGCCTTTCATGACTTCAAATACTTCTTTCCAGCCCCTTCTTGCCTGCAAGGTCTCTTTTGAGAAATCAGCTGACAGTCTTATGGGCACTCCTTTGTAGGTAACTGTCTCCTTCCTCTTGCTGCTTTTAGGATTTTCTCTTTATCTTTAATCTTGGGTAAGTTAATGATGCTGTGCCTTGGCATGTTCCTCTTTGGCCCCAACTTCTTTGGGACTCTCTGGGCTTCCTGAACTTCCTGGAACTCTATTTCCTTTGCCAGACTGGGGAAGTTCTCCTTTACTATTTGTTCAAATAAGTTTTCAAGTTCGTGCTGTTGTTGTTCTCCTTCTGGCATGCCTCTATTTGGATATTGGAACGTTTTAGGTTGTCCCAGAGGTTACTAAGTCTCTCTTCACTTTTTGAGTTCTTGTTTCTCATTCTGTTCTGGTTGGATGTTTGTTTTTTCCTTTTGTTCCAAATTGTTGATTTGAGTCCTGGTTTCCTTCCTGTCGCTGTTGGTTCCCTGAATATTTTGCTTTATTTCATTTTGGGTATTGTTCATTTGTTTTTTTCATTTTTCAACCAAGCTCAATCAGTTCTGTGAGCATTTTGATTACCAGGGCTTTGAACTCTCCATGAGATAGGTTGGCTATCTCCTCATTGCTTAGTTCTGTTTCGGAGGTTTTTCTCTGTTCTTTCATTTGGGCCATATTTGTTTGTCTTGGGTCACCTGATAAGTTGTAAGGGGTTGGGGCCTTAGGTATTCACATGGGCAGGGCAACCCTCTTTGTTGTGCTGTGGCACTGCCTGGGGGGAGGTACCAGAGAGGGAACAGTGCAGCTCACCTATTTGTCTCTAGTGCACTTTCCAATGAACTCATGTGAGACTGGGAGTTTCTCCCACCGTGGCAACCCCAGCCATCATGCACAGTGAACTCTGAGTCTCGGTTTGGTCTTCAGTTAGCCTAGCCCATCCAGCTGCAGCCTCACCACGGTTTTTCTGAGTTGGCCTGCATGGTCCACTGCCTTACTGGTCTGGTTGTTCTGGTTGATTTTTTTTTCAATTCCTTGGTTGTCAGAGTTCCATGGAGTTTGATTTTCTGGCATTTTTAGTTGATTATTGATTTTAGATTTGTTGTTATCCTCCTTTTGGTTGTTTGAGGAAGTGAAGAGTTTCTACCTATGTCTCCATCTTGGCTGGAACTCCCAGATGTCTTATAGGATTTAAATAAGGAAGGGAACTTTTCCTAACTAATTCACTCTATATTTACTGAATCCCTACTTTATATAAGAATATATTTTGCTGGACTCTGGGGAGACACACAGAAATGAATAAAACCCTTCTCTGCCTTCAAAGAGTATGCAGTGTTATAGGGATACTAAGAACATACAAGTGCATGTAGCACAACAGCAAATAAGACAAGTGAAACAGAACATGTTGCTGGGAGGAGGGCACAGTTATTGCTGGCTTGTAGAAGCAGGGAAGGTGTTCTGGAAGAGGGACATTTGGACTGGGTTGCAAAAGGTAATTAAGATTCATATATGCAGAGAACAATGTTTAAACCAGAGACCATAACAGGATCTCAGACCTAGAGGTAGTAATGCCTGCAGTGCTTTCAGGGACCCATGCATTTTCCCACAGGCCTGGTACATGTATCCTAGTCCTGTTTTCTCATCATCTATAAGTGTAGGTGAAAGGTTTTCTTAGGCTCCTCTGAGGAATAAATGCCAATCAGCAACAAAGATAGGCAGTATAGAGCTTTATTGGAGTTTATGTGCCCAGGCAAGGTTTCCCAGTCCACACGGTGGGGCTGAGAAAGTCACCCAGAGCAGGGAATATGGCAGGGTTTTATTCCCGTTGGCTCTTTTTGTGGGAGCTGGGGATTGGTCCCCTCCGAACAAAGCAGCAACATATCATTGGTAGTTCTCCTCACGCCCTGGTTTGACATCTCCGTCTCTTCCAGGTTGTAGTTCAGACACCACGTTTGTTTCGGCTGCCATGTTTGTTTCAGCCACTATTTTGTCCTGCCACGCCCATCCTGACATTCCAACTGTTTTGATAGGATAAGGGGCGCCATGTTCGATCTGGCTACTTCCTGCTGTCTGGGGAGCATAGAGGGGATGGTTTCCGAACTGGAAGAATTGGGGTGTTACTCGGGGAGTTGGCCGGAATTAAAGGTCCCTGCCCCATAAAGCAGGAGACAATAGGTTTGAGACCTCTACAGTGGGTTTCAGAGATTGGGAACTGGGGTCTAGAAGGAAAGATGGTGGGGTTTTTCAGCATGATGGTGATTGGGGTGTGGTGAGAGGCCACAACAGGCTTGGAGGTGTCCCATGCCCAAACCTGCTTGCCCCTCCCTGATGAACCAGAAATGGCCAGACCTCTAGCCCCTCCCCTCTATGCTCCCCTGACAGCAGGGAGTAGCCAGATCCACGGCTCCCCTTATCCTATCAAAATGGTTGGAATGTCAGGATGGGCGGGGCAGGACAAAATAGTGGCTGAAACAAACATGGCAGCCGAAACAAACGTGGTGTCTGAACTACAACCCGGAAGAGACGGAGATGTCAAATCAGGGCGTGAGGAGAACCACCAATGATATGTTGCTGCTTTGTTCGGAGGGGACCAATCCCCAGCTCCCACAGAAAGAGCCAACGGGAATAAAACCCTGCCATATTCCCTGCTCAGGGCGACTTTCTCAGCCCCACCGTGTGGACTGGGAAACCTTGCCTGGGCGCATAAACTCCAATAAAGCTCTATACTGCCTATCTTTGTTGCTGATTGGCATTTATTCCTCAGAGGAGCCTAAGAAAACCTTTCAGTAGGTAGTGTTCAAAGTTGAAAAAGACTGAGGAGGAAGAGTGTCACCTTTGAGAATGGTGTTTTGACCACACATTTATTTTTGTTTTGTTGTCTTTTGTCTTTTAGGCGATTGCTTGGAATTATAACCAAGAAGGATGTATTAAAGCATATAGCACAGATGGCGAACCAAGATCCTGATTCCATTCTTTTCAACTAGAATCACAAGAAGGACATTGCAAACCATGGATATATTTTATTGACTGGGTACCCAGAACATATTTCCCATGTTCGAATGTTGAAATTATATTAGTGTGTTGTGTCTTTCCTACAAGTTAACCAGTTGTATTGTATAATAATTTCTGGAAATTAATCTTCTCTTTAGGAGAATGAGCAGTTAGGCTTCTGTGATATTGCATTAAGAAGATTTCATGAAAGATTAAACAAGATTGCTGTGGTTTAATTCTTTTTCTTAAGATGATTTTTTAATTTAAAACATAATTGTTAGCCAATATGCAATCACTGAAAACTATGCAAGAAAAGTCCAACTGTCCTGACCAATAGCCTGCAGGAAACTCATGAAAGTCACTTTTTTTGAACTCTAACTATCATTGGTGAAAGATGAAGTGTAAATTAAGTGGCTTTACTTTTCCAACCACAGAAAAGAAAGCCAGAAGGAAAATAGTAATAGTATTTTCCAGACTGTGAAAATTCATTTCAAATGTTATCTTGTTCCTGTTACAATATTTAGCATTATTAGTTTGTATGTGTATGTATATGTTAATTTTAATATCTTATTATAAGACAATGCTGCTTTGGTTAATCTCCTCTAAATGAATTTAGAGAAGTTGATTTTATAGCTTGCTTGTTTCTGGTACTCCTCAAGTGCACAAAGATAAGTTATAGAGATTTCTCCTTGTCTGCAAGAAGGGTAATTTTCCAGATGGTATTTGTTAGCTAGTAGACAAGGACTTTGCCATGAATTTGTTAGAAGCAAGAAATGATTTCTCAAGATGAATGATTAGTGAAGTTCTAAGCAAGTCAATGACTAGGAGTTTTAAAACTTTGTCAGGTTCCAACTCATCCTCTTACCCAGATGCCACCTCCGTGAGTGATGGTGCTTTAGGCTTCTGGAATATGTAAGGATAGTAAAGAGAACCAAGTCTAGGCTGCATACTGGTAAACTAGGGAAGATTCTGAGCTGTATCTGCATTCTCATGCATTCCTTCATGAAGACAACCAGTACTAACATAACTGGATGCTCATGCCTCCTCCCAGTGTTAAGTACATAGAATAGGCCAGTGTTGTCCCGGTGAATATGAATTTTGGCTTGGGGTACTTTCAAATATATTCAAGACATTGGAACATAATAGGCAGCTGTGACTCCCCTGAGGCTCCTTAGAATCCTAAATAAAATGAAGAACCATCCTAAGATCCAGGGTGTGGACAAGGCCTGGTGACACCAAAGGTGCTTGTATCCAATTGTAAAGGTGCCTGTGTGAATTTCCTACCACCTTAACTGCAGTAGAAAACATCACAATCTAGCGACACCTGGTGGAATTACAGAGCCACCACCATTCCAATGACTGTTTCATTTTCTACAGTTTTATCCATGTGCAGTTGTTCCTCTTCTGTTCTTTGCCCTTTCCTACTCCTCAGTCCCCAGTCCTCTCTTTGGGATCGAACATTCTGCCTGGTTAATCATTCCTATTAGAAAAAATAATTCCCATGGCTAGTTAAATTGTAAACCAAACCTCAGTAATCTTATGACACATGGACCAGAGGTAATACATAGCCATTGGCTTTGCTCTGTAACGAAGTCACTGCTGCCATGCCTCAATTTCCACACCAATGCCCACAGCAGTAAGAATCAACTGCCAGGGGTGAAAGTTCAGCCTTTCCCATTTTACAGGTATTTTCCTAGCACTTCTCTCCATCCTTCTGGCCTAGAATCAGCAGTCACTTGGCATATATTTCCCAGCCATCTACCTTCTCTCCCAAAACACCTCATACCTCATTTTAAGAGCTTCTGGTCCTGGATTGTAGGATTTTTTTTTTTTACTCTTAGTTCGTATCTTTTCCAAATCTGAATTTATGGTATTGCCCAGAACTAGGTAGTCAAGGCTTATTTGGATTTTTTATCTTTAAAATATTAAGGCAGTCACCAGAGTTTTTATTTTAAGTATATCACCCTAGTATTTTCGTGAAAAAGAAAAACTCTCTAGGTTATATTGTATGAAAGTCATGACTCAGTCTCTTTACATCTTTTGTTCCTTCCATGCCACTGATTTTCTCACATGAGATGTGGTTATTTTGCTCTCCACCCCTCTATATTGAGTAGAAACCAAAGTTCTTATCTGTATATTTCTGGTTCACTACCTAACTTTTCTTATCAGCCACCCAAGTAAAGTTTGCAAATCAGGAAATGTTAGTATTTCTAGTATTAGATGACAATGAAAGATTTTGTTGCATTTTGTAGTGCAGCAGTGATATGGAGGGTGTCTAAGTTTGCCTTTGTGTTTCTTCTAGGCTCTGTTTTTAATTTTAGACAGATGAGCCAGCATTAAGGTGCTACTTCAAAGACTAAATTCAAAAAATCAGATAACACTGTGCCAAGGTAAACTTTCTAGATGCTAAGCACCGATTGGCCCTCCAGAGTATAATATCCTGGTATTATTCATTCCTGATAAATCTCATCCATTAACCTCAGCTTCTCAGGAATTCTTGTAACTCATATGCTAGAAGTAGCTGTAGTGTATGGTATCCATTATATGTCTAATCCTATGGTTTGGCTTCAAGGTTGGCTAATTGTGGCTAGAGTTCCCTGTAGGCTGCTAACTCAGCACCTTAACACTCAGTTTCTTGTCTTGAGGCAAAGGAAAATGTTCTGACATTGCTAATTCAGCAGTTAAAAATACTTAACCAACAAACAAAGCCAATATAGGGAAGTCTGTCAGTAGCATCAAATGGCCACAGACTTCAATGGGGAAAGACAAGATAATCTGATTTTAAAATGAATATGAGTTGAAACTAGTCTCTTTTGGTATTAAAAAAGAAAATTGACCAACACAAGGGAATGATTTACAAAAGAATGCTAATAAATACTTCAGGATTTTCCAAGAAAAAATATCTGGTAGACATCCAGCCATTAAAGGAGTGAGTCTATAGATTTGTAAAAAGTCTGCTATATTTTGTATGTTCAGATCTTCAATGTAAAAAATTAAAGGAGCCCAAGTAGTTAATAGATGATTAGTTATACCTTTGGAGGGAAGAATCAGGGGACTGAAAATGTTAAATAATGTCCACTTTCAAAATCATTTGTTTTTAGAAGTTTGTTCAGATTCTCTCCTTTCTGGCTCTGGCATCATTCTGGCTCAGCCCAGCTATAGAACAGAGGTGGTATAGTGCACCTAACAGATATTCTCTGGTGAATAATTTGATATTGACAGTACTTTGATTTTGCCAGCTGGCAGAGCAAATGATTAATTTGCTGATTTAACTGCAAAGCAGTTCAATTGTTTTGGTACAAAAGGCTGAATTTGAACCCTTTACAGGAAGAGCAGAGCACAGTATAAATTTCTGTAGTCAGCCCCCAATTGTGTTTGAACATGAGAATGATAAAGTAATGGAGACTTGGTATGGTCTAAGGCTGTTAAGTAATTCTCAATCACGTTAAGAAACTGTTCAGGTTAGAGGGAGCAAATATGTTGTTAAAAACTTAGCATGCAATAGAGGTCACCATGGAATGTAATTGTTGCTGTATGTTTTAAGTATTTGAATCACCCATCCTGGTTGGGTCTTGATATTGGTTTGTTCTGTTGGGTGATGAGAAGGAAAGTGTACTTGTTATCCTACAGTATCTTTTTAAAAAAATAAATTATAAGGAGTGCACTTTTTTAAGCTGAGTTTTTAATGACTGTGAAGACAATATTGAGAATTTGAAATAGCCAGTGTATTTTATATCACCAGAGTACATACTGATGACTGACCACGTGCTGTGAAGAATCAATTTACCTACATTGGCAGTATTTACCTACATGAGTTCAGAGAAAACAAAAGAGCATCTTTCATGACAGTGCATAGAGTATTGAGCTTTTGAAAACCCTGAGAAAAATTAGGAATTTAGAAAATAAACAGGAGATAGAATATTGAGTCTTTTAAAACATAAATGTCTATATATGTGCTCTGAACTTAATTATTCTAAAATCTTGATTTTTTTTTTACCACTTCTGGGATTGCCTGTATTTACTTTGGAGAGGGAATGGAGAGTTATGGTAATGGAAAAGCCATAGTAGGAAAATATATGAGTTTGTGTAAGATGGTGGAAGGAAGGCCAGCCATATATCCTGGCATTTATAAACCACTTGATCATGTGCCTCAAGGGAACAAGAAGTCAAATAGTCTCCAAAAGACCAGGCTTTCCAAGCAAAAGGATTTAGCTGGAGTAAGTCTACTTTTATGGAAAGAGTTGATATAGGGCAAGACACTTACTCATGTAGGAGGGGAGCCACTACTGCCATTGCCTAAATGATAAGCTTTTGGTAGATTGTCTTGAATTTTGATAGCAAAATATTTTTAAATCCATATTTTTAGTCTCTCCAGTATGTAGTTGTATATTAGAAAGAAAAAGGTGAAATTTTCTCAGCTCAGAGCTCAGGGAGCTGTATAAATTTGAAGTGAAATCAGTGTAATGTACCTGTGGTGACCACTCGACTTTGCTCTGCTTCAATTTCAGTTGTTTGCTCTAAGGAGAGAAGTTCTTGGAATAGCAGGTGTTAGCAAATTCAGGTTATTCCACAAACGTTTGCTGGCTACAGTCTCATTTCTGAACACCTGGATCTGGGCAAAATTTTCAAGTGATGTAGGAAACAAAATTGTTTTTTCCACTGTGTAGTAATCACCCAAGAAAGAAAGTATTCTATGTTTGCAGTTTGCATTTCTTGGATGGGGTCTCTTGGGACTCACCCAGCCCAATCCCACAGTCATACATTCCTACCTCTAAGTTCCTGCCAAAGGGTCTTCAGCCTCTGTTTGCACACTCATGGAGTGAATGAATGCCTTGCCTAAAGAAAGGCATGTAGCAGTATAATATTATGAGGGTTTTTAAAAAATGATCTCTGCCTCTCCTTTCTCCTTCTATCCCACCTTCTTTCCCTTTCTTCCCCACTACCTCTCTCTTTCTCTCACCCTTCCCCTAAATTCAAAACTTTCTCAATTATTACAAGCATATTGTTTCAAATGTGAACCTTGGAGAAAGAAGAGGATCATTCTGAAAGTAGAGAATGAAAGATAATTCTCTGGGTTGAGAAGGCCAATGGAGCTTTGCTCCACTGTTGGTGCAAAAGCCAGTGGTATGTATTGGGAGTGTCAAGGACTTTAGCATCCTGATGTCAGATTTATATTCATTGCTAAACCTTAGTATAATCTACTAGTTCAAGCCTATTGAAAGTCAGCACCAGTCTAGGATTTGGTAAGTGAAATGCCATCTGGCAAAATGCGGACAAGGGAATGGCCTGACATGGTTTTATCAGGGTAGAAATCTTCAGCCTCATTATCATATTGAGTGTACCTCAAAATATATGGTCACTTAAGAGTGTTCCTTTTCCCTCCTTCATTTTACTTTATTGCTTCTCCCTTTCTCTTCCATTGTCCTGCCTTTTTAGTACTCAGCTTTTTAATAAGTATGTACTTTTAAAATATGTATTTGGTCTTTTGGGACTATGTAATGATTAAGAATTAATTTCATTCTAGATAAAATGATGTGTTCAATATTTTGTTATTTTAAACTATCTTTTGAGTTATGCTGTTGGTAACTAGGTACAGGCCAGAAAGGTGTTGAGCCTGACAGACAGTACCCTGGTCATATCACACTTAAGGATGGCATTGATGTCATGGTAGTGACTCTTCTTCATTTGACCAAGGCCAGCATCCTGCTCTTACCTCTATCCATTCATTTCTGGCTATGGGAGAAATACCACACCCTTTAGGTGAGCCAGTGAGGCTAGGAGGATCAGAGGGTTTAGCCCATGGACCACTATGTGAATATCTCTGAAATAAGCTCATGTGTAGTGCAGGCTCCAACTGCAGTAGCCAAAGAAAATCTGTCTGACTCAACATTTAGTTCCTAAGATTTGGTAGAAGTTTTGCTGAAGCTAACCTGTAGACACCAACTAGGCATACAGAAACTAGCACCAACCAAAGCTAATGTAGCCTGAGTTTCCACAGGAAGCTTGGTGTTGAGCTGTTCAGAGCATTTATTTATTTGAGTGTTGCCAACCCTATAGTCATGCTTTCTTAGCTTTATTCTAATTTTTAGAGATGTTGGTCCCCATTCATAGGCACAGCCTGTACCAAAGCTGTGAGTCCTGCTCACTTCATTCTACTCCTTGGTCATGTATAGCAACAGTCTAAAAAGGAAGACATGGGCTGGGGAGTTAGGAGACTGGGTTTCTATTCCTTATGCTTCTACTAACTAGCCTCAAGATCTTAACCGTTCTGTGCCTCAGTGTTCCCATCTGCAAAATGGGGATAGTGTTAATTGCCCTACCTACCTCACAGGGTTGTTGTGAGGATAAATTGAGACAATGAATGGAAAGTATTTTGACTAGTAAGTGCTATGCAAATTGTATGAAATGGAAACAATCATGTTAAAGGCAATGGAATGGACATTGGCAAAAGGTTTAATGGGATTGTCTAGCCCTTTCTCTGTGTGGCTCAAACCCAGGTCGCCATTGCTTTATACATTTCCACTTAGCACAGATTTTGTAATTATGCATGTAATAAAGCACAGCTTTATCCAACTTGGTGTCTGGTGTATTTTTGAAGACTCTCAATTTTGTACCTGATTTTTAATCATAAAATCGGGGGGGGGGGCAGGGTGTGAGGGTTGGAAGAGGATAGTATAAAAGGCAACTGAAAACTACTAGAAAGCTCACTTCTTTAAAAAGATTTATTAAGTAATTATTTTTACATTTACAGATTCGATAATACTTTTTACCATAAAGAGACAAATGAGGGGCAGCTTACATTTTCTTAGAGAGTCCAGATACCTCATTTATTATGACTACTTAAGTATTCCTACTTCATACATTGGTGATACTTTCCTGATAGCATGAGAATTAACTGGGAGCTGTAATTTTTCTTTTTGAGCTTTTAATGACTTAAGATTATGGGCTTTGATAGGGCGCTTGACTACCTACTGTCAGTTTTTACAAGGAGTATGATGGGTGATTGAAATGTTCTTCAATCACCCATCAAGTAGGGTTAGTATATTCCTTTTTATGGTGTATAGGGAGCCCCCTCAAGTGACCAAGGAGGGGGCTTTTCAGGAAGGTAGTTGAATAACTAAACATTTCCTTTTCTCACCACTCTAGAAAACAGAAAACAAAGGAAAGCTATATAGCAGATTCTCAAATAACTTTGTTTAACATCCTTTCATTATAACATTGACGAGATGCTTAACTGGTTTATGTCATTTAGCCTGTGGTAAAATTGGTTTTGTTGTATGTCATTTCACTTAAAGTCACAGAACCTGTCAATGACATTGTGAGGACTTAACTATACTTTAAAGTATGGCTTTCCTACTTTCTTACTCTATTTTTTTCTGCATCTGATTTGTCTTTCCTACATGCCCCTGTCTCTGTTAGCCAGACCACTAGTAAGGCAGTTAGCTGTGTGTACAAGTTTTCATTTAAGAATCCCTTCAGTTGACATTTGATCACATTTGTAGTAGTGTTGACTTCACATCTTGTTGCTACCAAGAACTTTAATACCATTGGCTCACTTGGCATCATTTCAGGGAGGACATCTCTATGTAAAAATAACTCCCTCATAAGCCTAAAATCGCACAAAAAAACTCAGTTTTTGATGTTATCATTTTACTGGGTCCTTCTACACTATTAGCATCCGGTCTCTAATCTAAATACCTTTTGAGGGAAAAAAATACATCTAGGTATTACCAGCTATCAAGAACTTGCTATGAATTAAAATGTCATGTGTAGTCATTGTAGGGCTCAAATAAAGTTGCTGTGATAGAGTATGAGGTACACACAAATTCACCATCTAATACAGGTGCTATACAGAGAAAAACCTGGAAATAACCACCAGATGTCAGTGCAATCATTGAGATACTAATGTACCTAAGGGTTGGTCAGAAGAGAACTGTGCCTGAGGGTAGGCTAGACAAGAAATCTTAATTCACGTGTACAGTTGAATGCTGGGAATACACAATTCAATCACAAGTTATTTCTTAGTTTATTGGTTTGCTGGATGATGCACAACCCACTGAGCCACACCAGTCAGAGTTGACTAGGACTCTTTGGACAGTGGGATGGTGATATTAATAATTACCCAGGGACAACAGGCACAAAACTGGGAGTATTCCAGGTGTCTTAGTAAATTCAAGCTGCTGTAACAAATTATCATAGACTCCGTAGTTGAGGATGTTCCATGCTTATGCATTGTCCACGGCTTGTGTCTCTAAATAGACATTTTATGATCTCAATTCAAGAGGCTGCAGATAGAACAGAAGACAGAAGGGGGAAAGTATAGGATTTGGAGCCAGAGGAACTGGACTGGAGGCTTACTGTAAAGGAATTGCTACCATTCTTGATCAAACAAAACTTGGGATCTCTAATATTGGCCTTGGAGATGAATTTCCTCTTGAAAAAGGACTTCTGGTCCTTACAGTATGGCTTTGTGTTCCACAAGTTTCTCCTTCCCATTGAGGCAATTTTTCTGGTTACCTCACTGGCCTTGGGGTGTGGTGGAGATCATTCCATTTTTTAAAAGATTTTATTTATTTTTAGAGAGGGAAGGGAGGGAGATAGAGAGAGAGAGAGAAACATCAGTGCGTGGTTGCTGGGGGTTATGGCCTGCAACCCAGGCATGTACCCTGGCTGGGAATCAAACCTGCGACACTTTGGTTCGCAGCCCGCGCTCAATCCACTGAGCTATGCCAGCCAGGGCAGATCATTCCATTTTAACATGCTGGCCCAAGTGTGTCTGTTGCACAGCTGAGGTGGAAGTAGAACTTTTAATCTAAAAACTTGAGGAAAATAAAAGGGAGTCAATGTGATGTTCAAGGAGCTCATCTGGCTGACCCTGACTGTGTATCAGAATCATCTGAAATGGGTATTAAAATACAGATTACTGGAGGTTTGGTGCCAGATTTTGGACTAGTAGTTAGAAAACCATATAAGGGTGTTATAGGCTTCATCCCACTCTGAAGCCTTATCAGTCTTCTATTTGGTGGGCTCCATCTTAGCACTGCCTAGAAGAACTCTTTGTTCTACTTGCTCACTCTTGTATCCTAAGTATCAGATACAGTGCCCAGCACAGAGAAGGACCTCCAAAACTACAGTACTGGTGGAATGGCTGGCTATGTAAAGCTTGAAACCTTAGTTCCTGTTTCCTGCCTGGAGATGTGTCTGTTTCCTAGATGTACACCAACTTTCAAGGACATAACATGTACCCATCCATGACCAGATCTTATATTGTACTTTACAAATCAGAAATATATAATCACCATCTCATACAACCCTTTGTAGGTGGCCAGGAGCATGTTTATTTTAGCCTCTGTTGCTTATTTGCCATGTGATATAAGCATGTGATTTGACCTCTCTGAACCTCAGTAACCTCATTTGTAAGATAAGAATGACTGTAAAACCTGCCTCATTGGACTGTTGAGTTGAAATGAAACTGAATATGAAAACTAGGCTTTATAAATTGGCTATCCAAACATCATTCTTATTCAGTTGGTCCTGAGGGATAAAGTAGATAATGTATGAGAATAGTCAGTTTACTCAATCAATATTTATTGAGCACCACTAGACAGTAAACATTCAATGAAAAAAAAACATACACCCATTCCCTAGATGACAATACAAAGAATGGTCAATTCAGAATGGCATAAACCAGTAGTCTAATGTGGAAGAACTATTTTCTCTCCTGAATAGTCACAGAATCTTGGTACCTCCCTCCCACATAAATGTTTTCCAATTACATCCACCTCCAAGTTTCTGAAACATACCACTAAATCAGGGCATCCCAGGCACACTCAAACTAATCTGTCAGCTATGATTTTCAAGAGGGATGCACCCACTTTCCCCCCTCCAGTTCCAAGTCCCACATGGCCACATCTGAAGCCTGCAAAGCCACTCAGAGGACCCTTCCGTACTCCAGATATCACCCAACCTGACAAAGCCAATTATATCCCTTCCCTCTTTGCCTGTCCTCCAGCATACTACTATTTCTAATTCTGGTTACAAAACCAAAACTCCCTTGTATGTGGATGCATACCAACAGATATGGCTGTGTGTATGTGGGGAGTGGAGAGGAGGGTTGTCTACACGAGCAGCAATATGATAAAAATGTTTCATTACACAAATACCTTCAATATCACAACAAACCTGTGAGTAGGGCAAATGTGAGGAAACTAAAACTAAGATTAAGACTTAGTTGGAAGTGCTGTAACTGAAACTATATCTCAATGTTTTTGACCCCAAGTCCAGTGATCTTTCTACTATTAATCTTGGGGCTGACTGCTCCTGTTTTATCCTGAATGTTTCCAGACCAGTTTATGGGAAGAGAATAATAGGAGCCTGCTTGGCTGGACAGTTGGCCTAGTGTTAAATATTTAGTGTGGCCCTGACCTGTATGGCTCAGTTAGTTGTGTGTCGTCCTGCTAAGTGAAAGGTCACCATTTTGATTCCCGGTCAGGGCACATGTCTGGGTTGTGGGTTTGGTGCCATGTGTTTCTCTCTCTCATTGATGTTTCTTTCCCTCTCTTTCTCCCTCCCTTCCCCGTCTCTAAAAATAAATAAGTGAAATCTTTTTAAAAAATTATTGTGGGTATGAATCTATATAGAGACATGTAGAGGTGATCAGAAATATTTCTAGAAAGAGGATCTCCAAAGAGGCTTCTTTTAAAATGTGGGTGCGTGTTTGAGGTTTTTGTTTGTTTGTTGCTTAATTCCTTTTTTTTTTTCACCCAGCCTGCCTAGATCCTTCCCTGTGAGAGCTATGAGTCTGTTTCGATTTTGTTAGTTTATTTTGTTCATTAGATTCCACATATAAGTGAGATCACATAGTATTTGTCTGTTTCTGACTGGCTTAATTACTTTACCATAACACTCTCCAGATCTATCTGTGTTGTTGCAAAAGGTAAGAGTTCCTTCTTTTTTCCAGCCACATAGTATTCCATTGTGTAAATGTACCACAGCTTTTTTATCCACTCATCTACTGATGGGCACTTGGTCTGCTTCCAAATCTTGGCTATGGTGATTACCAGAGGGAAACAGGGTGGTGGAGGCAGGGAAGGTTAAAGGGAGGATAAATGGTGATGGAAGACTTGACTCTGAGTGGTGAACACAATACAATATACAGAGAATGGATTATAGAATTGTACCCCTGAAACCCATAATGTTATTAACCAATATCACCCCAATAAATTAAATTAAAATAAATAAATCATTAAAAAATATAATGTGTGTATAAAAGTGAGAAATGGGGATGAATAGGGGTGAGGAAGCAGTATCTGGGGTCCTATATTTACTAATTTACTTCCCTTGGTGTTATTTGAAATTTTTACCAGGATCTTATATCTGTTTTTGGAATTTTTATCAGTAAACACCCAGAAAAAAATATTTTTATATGTGGTTGTAAGGATATGTTCACCTCATCAATTGGAAGCTAATATTTTTTTTTCCTGCACAGTGATGATAAATGATGACAACTAAATCCTCAGGTCCAATAAGTGCTTATTATGATGAGAATTTTCATCCCTAGCAGGGGAGCCTTA